TTATGTGTTTATTAATGTGAGTATTAGCCGACCCTAAGGTAGACGAATATTTAACCGAATAAACATAGATGTGATGATAAACATATGGTGATTTTTTTGGTTCATGTGATTAATAAGTCAATCCAAAGAGGGGCTTGTTAATTGATATAATTTATTGTCAATGTTTATCTATAAAACAAGAACATCTCTTGCAAGTTAGTATTACTGTTCAAAGACTTGATATTAATGTTGTGTTGATACCTTGTAAAAATATCATAAACTGAATTTATTGATTATAGTTTATGGATTAATGAACATAAAAAATAGATTTGCTTATGTTTGAATTATGGTATTATATATGCTGACATTGATCATATTTACGATTCATGTACGCAATGAGATTAACTTTAAGGAATGGAATAAGGGAATTATGTTAGTTCTCAATTGCTTAGATATTGACATTGCATTTTTTATAGAGCAACATTCTTTGAGGATGTTGAGTTTGGGGTAGAAACAAGGTTAAGACATTGTCCTTAAGGATGAATCAATCTTGAATCATATTATTGTTTTCGAAAGTATGAATCAGTGATCGATAATGTTATTCAATCTCTTATTGTGGATACACAAACTCAACAACTCAACTTTGGATATCCTATGCATGGTACCACATTTTTCATCAATTTATTATCTATTTTGGTTTTGAGGTAAATACAGTAGATGATTTTGTGTATTTCATATTAAGTTAGAGTAAATTTATCTTTCTGGTTTTGGGTAGATATCTAAGCAATTCAAGTTTGGATCATAAGAATGCTACCAAATGGATTTTGACATATCTATATACTATAGGAAATTCAGATGTTTTGAAGATCATTTTTTATTAAAAATATGATTTTATTAGATGCCAAAATGGTTACTGATCCATATCAGGATACTTTTACATTTTAGCATGATGAGCCATTTCATGGAATAGACTTCGGTAGCTTCTTCCATAATAGCAACATAATTTGTAGCATGGAATATGGTTTAGAAAATTTGTCACAAGGCTATTCATTATTGATATTAAAAGACAACTAAAGTTGTGATAATAAGTCAACAATGTTATATTCCAATAACAGAAGTTCTATTAAGTCAAAACATATTGACCGTTGACTTTGGTTGACTTTTAGGGTTTGGTCAGCAGTGAGGCCTTTGAGCCAAAAGATTGGTAAAATGGTCTTTTACCCTTCTGAGGATGTTAAGAAAGGTTGGAGTATAGTTATATTTATGGGAGTATTTGCTTTATGTGTTTAGGTGGAGGCTAGATCGTATTTCTACCGAGTCAGTGATTTACCGAGATATAAGAGGTGAGTCTTCTCACTATACTGTACCTGGAAGGGTACCTATGTGTGACCGGAATGTCTGATATGCCATATGATATATGCATTGTAGTGATTAGTTACCAGTTTTGTATGTGTTATGTATGGTATGCTTGATATGGGCCGGAATGCATTATGTTATGGGCCGGAAGGCATTATGATGTGGACCGGAAGGTCAGGGAGTTATGGACCGGAAGGTCGACACAGGTAGGACCAGAAGGTTTACCGGGTTGGGACGGAGGTCCTCTAAGACACATGAACCGGAAGGTCATGGCCTGGAAGGGCGTATGTGTGTAAGTGGTATTTTGGGGAACTCACTAAGCATTTATGCTTACAGTTGTTGTGTTATGTGTTTCAGTTACTAACGAGGACCGTGGGAAGGCGCCGACATGATCTATACACATTGACGGAATATTATTTTATGATCTTGGGATGTATTTTTATTATGATGACATTTGCTAAACATGAGATTTGAGAATATTGAATGATGGTTTATGTTGTTTGAAAAATGAAAAATTGTTTTGAAAATTCACGTTGTTACAGTATTGAACATGAACATGTAAGCCGACACGGGGAAAAATGTGATCTCTGCAGATTCTTAACAGGGTGCAACACGCCTTTTAGCCCTATTCACGATTTTTCCGTTTTTCATTCGTGCAACTCCATTTCCTTCCTTTTGTATCGCAACTCTGGTTTTAACTGCAATTGCACATTTCAAAACATATTAAGTATGATATATTTTAAAATATAATTTTTTAGATTAAATTTATTAAGATAATAACCTAAAATACATAGTTAAATAAAGTCACACACACACACACACACATATATATATATACATATATATATATATATATATATATATATATATATATATATATATATATATAGGTTCAGGTTCATTTGAGACCAATATAATTTTGTGAGACCGTGAGATCAAATCTAAAAATAATTTTAAAATGCAAAATAAATGGAAAAATCCAAAAAAAAAAATTTAAATATTATTTTCGGAACTTGAATTAACTAAAAAAAATATTAAAAAATAAAAAAAAAATAAAAAAATAAAAAAAATTCCGTTTTTTTTTTAAAAATACGTGAAATATTCTAAATAGAATATTACACTGATATATTCTAAAAAATAATTTTAAAATGCAAAATAAATGCAAAAATATAAAAATTCTTTTTTTAAATATTATTTTCAGAACTTGAATTAACTAAAAAAATAAAAAAAATTCTATTTTTTTTGAAAAATACGTGAAATATTCTAAATAGAATATTACACTGTACATATTCTAAAAATAATTTTAAAATGCAAAATAAATGGAAAAATTAAAAAATTCTTTTTTTAAATATTATTTTTGGAACATGAATTAACTAAAAAAAAGAAAAAAAAATAAAAAATAAAATAAAAAAATAAAAAATAAAAAAAATGCGTCTTACGGTCTCACAAAATATAGGTGGTCTCAAATGAACCTAACCCTATATATATATATATATATATATATATATATATATATATATATAAGTCTGATGGAAAAAATTAGTAACAATATGTAAAATACTAATATATATACCATTCATAAATCTTACAAAAGCGTATAATATACAAATTTCAATAGACACACCGTAACACACAAATGAGTGGTGCTCATATGTTATAACACATGTCATACAAGGATAACAAACTTTTCACTCCAGCTCACCTTCACACGTAATAACACACACAAGAATAATGTTCACATGTTATAACACATATCACCTGAGAATAACATATGGTGCACACCTTAATACACCATAACACATAAAGAAGTGATGTTCACATGTTATAACACATGTCACCTAAAGATAATGTATGATGTTTTGCTAGTACACCTCTTAGCCCACAATTAAATTATGAAAAATTAAGTATCATGGTATCTTTTGCTTCTCTTTATTTTCATGCTCATATAAAATCATTTCATGTGGAATCTATTATTATTATTATTTTTTGACATATTTCTATACCAATGAGTCTGAAAAGAAAAGAAAGAAAAAAATTAGAGTGATATTTAATTTCTTGTAAATTATATGTATTGAGATTTTATTTATAGTGATCATTCAATGATAAAGAATTATAGATATTAAATAGATAAAATAATAATGTAAAATTACAAATCGATGATGAGATCCCTCAAGTCAGAAAACACTAATGTGCACCTAACTAATGTGCCCACATTCATTTAATTTTAATATTCATAGTATCTATATATTTAGAATAAAAGGTCAAATAATTATACTATTTTCATAAGATTTTTTAATCATCCAAATTCTACTAATGATTATTTCTGGGAAATAGAGATGGCAACTTTCTAATGCAAGCTACTTTTGATTCATGAATACTAATTGTGAAATATGTTTCTAAGTATAATCTGAAAGTTGTTTACAGAAATTATATACCATTAAGTGTTCATAAATAATTATAAGACAAAATTGCAAAAATGGTCCTTGTAGTTGGCAAAATTATGTGACTTTGTTTCAAAAAAGTTTGATGGTGCGTCAGTGGTCCAATTTTGGATCTTTTTATTGTTTTTGGTCCCTATACACTTAAAAAGACAATTATGCCCTTACAATTTATATTTTTCATTTTCTTTAATTCTGGAAATGCATAAATTAATTTAATTTATATTTTTCATTTATATTTCATTTGTCTCATCTCTCTCAACAAAAGAAACACACACACACACACACACTCAAGAAACATATCACCCCTAATGGATGCCACCATTACCACCGACTGCAACCACCAACAACTACCATCGTCCGCCACCATCACCATTGGCTGCCATCACTATCCATTACAAACAACTAATCCCATCCTCGCCCATCTTTCTTTCCTCAGACCTGGATGAAATTTCCCCACCAGAACCACCCTTCTGATTGGTGTTGTCCCTACCAAAATACCACCACTTCCATTTTTCAATGATTAGGGGTTTCAGCCACCACCACCACCACCACCACCACCATAGAAGATGACGACATCGTCATTCACCACCATTGTCTTTCTCAACCACTATTCGCCACCAACCACCATCATCTCCCCCCACCCTCACCTCCTCGCCGTTAACCAGATGACCTTCACCGTTGACCACCAAACCACCGTTCATCGATTTTTTCCAAATGCCTCTCAATCCTATAAGACTTGAAACATAAGAAAATCAGGGGGTGATTGATTCGAAAGGGGTTGAAAAGAACCTCAAATGTTTCATCAAAAGTACAGAGAAATGAAAAATCTTCTACCTAGCTAGATAGAGCAAAAATCGAACCTCGTATAAAATCTTTAAAGACATGTCAACTACGAGAGTCTTAGAGAGAAAAACACTAACTTGTTTCTATCAGATTCTTAGTTTTGGCGATATACAGGTCCGATTTCATAGTTTTATTTACATATCTGAATTCTAGAATTTATGCTCCTTGATGATGGTCAGATGATTTTGTATTGCCCAGATGTATTTGAACTTACCCCTCTTGGTGCAAATCGAAAACCCAGAAGATGATCCTATCTGATTTGCGTTTTTTTATTCTTTGGTTTGGGTTTTTTTTAAGGTATTGGATGTGTGTAACGGTCTAGTTTGTAGATCTGGAAATGAACATTTTGAGCTATCGGAGAAGACGAAGGGGCAGTGGTAGATGGATCGCGTCATTGGAATTTTCATCTGGGTCACAAGCTACCGTCACCGGAGTTTGCTAGGGGTGGGTGGTGTTGCACAAGTAAGGGGCTGCAATGGTGGTGTAGGCGGTGGTTTTCGAGAATCTGTAGAATACAGGGAGAGGGTAGACCAAGTACCGATTTTGGTGTTATTAAGAGAGAGAGAGAGAGAGAGAGAGAGAGAGAAAGAGAGGTGGGTTATAGTGGGTGATAATTTAATTTTCTTTTTCTTTTAAATAATATAATAGGAAATTTAATAAAATAAATTAAAAATGAAATATTTCAGGGCATATTGGTCATTTTATGTTGGGTGTGGACCAAAACCACACAAAAATGACAATAAAGAGACCAAAACCGTAGAAGGTATCCAAAATTGGACCACTGGTACACCGTTAAACTTTTTTGGACCAAAGTTACATAATTTTGCCAACCACAGGGACCATTTTTGCAATTTTGTCTAATTATAAACTCCTAAGTCCTAATCTTGCAAATTTGGTTACCTTTTCTTTTTTTTTTTTTTTTTTTTTTGAAATTGAAGTATACCATCAGTTTTTTTGTGGGATATGAGTACGTAATTTTAACTATCATTTTGAAGATAAAAAAAATCCTATAATGCAAAGTAAATCAAAGTTTTTGAATTTTTTAAAATATTATTTTTATCACTTTTTTATAAAAAAAATAAAAAATAAACTATATTTTTTTTGTATATATACGTGAAATATTATAATAAAATTTTAAGTGTATAATAATCTAGTAGAATATATAGCATATTCTAACAATTGTAATAGATTATTATAATATATTCTAACTATTTTAATAGAATATTATGATATTATAACAATTATATTTTAATATTTATAGTTAATATGTAATAGAATATTAGCATATAATCTCAAATTCTTAATTTTTTTTTTACATGATGTAAATTGCTCATGTTTCAGACCGTTTGAACTTTTTATATATATATATATATATATATATATATATATATATATATATATATATATATATATATATATATATATATATATATATATATATATATATATATATTTTGAAATTTGGTATATATCATATGTTCAGATTTAGAGAAAGAAAAAAAGGAAAAAGTTGATGGAATAAAGATTTGGCATTTACCGACAAACTATCAATGACAAGTGTAAGATATAAATTGATTGAATGGTATAAATGGGCATTTAATTAATATGAAGAATGAACATAAATATGTATCCATCATCGCTAAGCCCTAAGAGGATATGAATCTGAATCTATAGTTGTTGGAAATGGATTTACTGGAATATGAAATGACCTAGTCTGTGATTGGAGAAGAAATATTATTTGGAATAAAATTTAAATCAGAAGAAAATCTTTAGGTGCAGTAGGCAATGGATACCGATATGGATGAATATATTTATTCTCATTTGATATTTTAGAGAGAGAAAGCTATAAATTCTAGAGAGAGAGAAGGAATAATAAGAATAGGATTTTTGTGGGGGACTGCATCGAATCCAGAGCAACCAAAAGAAGATCACGAAATATCTGTGAGTGACCCTGCATCTGATTTCCTCCTCTGTAATTCTTCTATTTCTCTCTCTACACGTATATATATTCATCATCTCTGTATGTAAGCATATCGATCGGTGCTCTTGCTAATATCATTCATTTTGAATCTGATCATCTTAAGTACTTCAATGGCGTGTAATTACGAAGAAGACGTGCCTCATGTTCTAGCTGTTGATGATAATCTGATCGATCGTAAACTCGTTGAAAAATTGCTCAAAAGTTCTTCCTGCAGAGGTAATTAAATCACAAACATTATTTCGTTATTTTAATACTAATTCACCAAATCATACAACTTACATACATTTGCTTTTTCTTGATTGCATGTTCGATTCATTCGTAGCAGTTACTACTGCAGAAAATGGGATGAGAGCATTGGAATATTTAGGTTTAAAAGACAATCATCAACAAAACAATGTGAGTCCCAGACATTATATGCATGATACCCATTTTTCCCAGTTATCATTTTCAATAATATCATTGTTCCTTATTGTTTGCTTCATTTCCTTTTTTTAGTGTGAAAACATGAAAGTTTTTTTGTTTGATGAACTAATAAAGTTGTGTGCTTGATTTTAAAGATTGTAACCCTACGGACTAACACTGTAACGATTGAAATCTGCAGGGTTCAAAAGTAAATATGATAATTACAGATTATTGCATGCCGGGAATGACGGGGTATGAGCTTCTTCAGAAAATCAAGGTGATTCTTTATAATAATTGTTATTGATTTTTTGAAATATATTTCGTTTGTCCAAACATAATCAATGATCAACAATTACCATATATATAAAAGGGGGAATATCGTGTGTCCCTACCAGCAAGGCTTATGACCAATATGGCAACTAGATCACATTTATCATATGTATCTTAGAAAAAGTATTCATAATTTCTATAAAATCATTCTTGTAATTTGGTATTAAA